TGGCAGTCATTTATAAAAAATCATGGAGGATGAGTTCAATTTCTACATCCTCATCCTCATTTCTCTCCAGTTCTTCCTTGCAACCAGTAGAACTCTAAACTCATCACAAGAGTTGGTTTCAAGCTCATCACAAGGTAGGCATTATCCTTTATATGTGAGTTTGTCTATGCAGCGTCAAGTTATACTTTTGGCTTTTGCTTTTGTTGTTCATTTCTTTGGGTTAGTTAGATTGGTTTTAATCTTTTATAAATATTCCGATTTGATTTGTAGGCGTGTGCTCAGTCATAAATTGTGGGCAAGGAACTTGCAAGGCATCTAATGCTTCATTTCTTGGTTTCGATTGTGAATGCAATTCTGGTTGGAGGAGACTCCAGATTGGTTCGTTCACCTTTCCTTGTGTTCTTCCCAACTGTAAGGATCTCTCTCTCTATACACACACATGACACATCCACAAACGCACGCGCACTCCTTTATATTAATGGTATTCCATACATATTCATATGGTTAATAGGCCTCCTAGTTTTGTTATACTAATTAAAATTGCATCAAATAGAATAGTGATTAAAGTTTAGAAGTAAAAAGTCGTTAATCTACTAATGAATTATGTTGACCATTGGATCGATCCATAGTTTTCGAATGAGATAAAATTGCAATGTAATTTTGTAAAGCCTCAAAATCAACGTGAATTAGTTGGTTTTTTACCTTTAACAAAGACATCTGCATCATTGAGCTAGAGAATAGGACGCATGTCATGCATTTACACTTGCAGAAATATGAACGAGAAAGAATCGCACTTAAAGAAATCAAATTCATTTATTTGTAAATTTCGTAATAGCATAGTACGATTTTTACTTGTTAATCTATTTACGTTTGATAGTGTACTGTTTTCTAGTCAAATTCATGGGTGTACAATTTGTGTCAAGAATGAAGAACTGTCTTTTCTCATGGTAGGCGTGTCCAGTTTATCCGTATTAATATAAAATATAAAGAACACATCAAAGATGGTGAATAACAAGATTAGCTATAACATGGAACAAATTACGGCAACAATACTCTCTGCTGAGGGAGAAAAAATATAGAAGAAAACAGAAATGGGTACGGTGCATGAAGCGGACAAAGCTATCCTCGGAAAAAGGATAAATAAAAATAAAAAGATAAATTACCATTTTAATCTTTAAACTTTAAAAAGTATCTGTTGTTTCTAATATGTGTTTGAACTTAAAAAGTGTCTAGCAGGTCTTTGAATTACGTATAATAAATAATTTTTAAAATTTATTAGGCCCCAATCTTAAATATTTTGAGATTTATTATACCTTTTATAAAGTTTAGAGATCTATTAAATAAACTATGAAAATTTAGAGACGAACTTGTAATTTAACAAATTATGAGCTGTTGCTGAACTTTCAGGGATTCCAGATTTCCGACGTGGCGGTGGATCTCCACTTCCACCACCACTGCCACCAACCACGGTGGTTCCTTTCCTTCCTTCACCTTTTGGTTTCTCAAACCGTATGCTGCTCACTAAACTACAGGAAGAAATTTGCTCTCTTGTTTATATATCGAACTCTGTAAATCAATTAGACTTTTAAGTTATATATATTATCTCGAAACTCAGTAATGTTGTATTTGAAATTGATAAAAAAGCTTCTATTTTAAAGTTTCAGCTTGCAGGGTTGTTTGGTGTGGTAATGGAACCTGCGTGGCCGATGGAGCAGGAGCAGCTGCATTCCCATACTCTTGCCATTGCCACGAAGGATTCGAGAATTTATTGAACTTGACATTCTTACCATGCTTTAAGCGCTGTAAGTAAGAGAAAATTTCTAGCATTACAGTAACAGTTCACCTGAATTTAGCCATATCACTATTTTTTATTATTTTTATTTAATGCCATATTACTTCATATCATGATTCTTAAAGAATTTTGAGGTTAGTAAAATAGACTTTATTCCATAGTTTTGTCTTCATTTGTCTTAACAATTGTGGTAATTGCTTTTGAGCCTCACCCACTAATGTACGGAAAGATATAATGCCTTAATATACTAGTTCTGGAAGGCAGCTTTAAGTTAATATAATATATATATTTTTTCACTCGGATGACTAAATCTTGGACTGGCCATCTTCCATTATTTTTTAAGTTATGGTCACGAGAAGATAATTATATAAATATGGTGTGACAAATAACTGAGAAGGTTCATATTATTTATACAAAGAAACGACATATGTCCAGTTTCGAGATAAATGTTAATTCCTCTTAATCCAACAAAAGAAAAATGGTTTTATTATGTGATATTATATTCCAACCAAAGGTTTCACTATACCAAAAGTTAAAAGATGTTCACTTTAGTTGGGGTTCTGTTGAAGTTTTTGGTTTGGTTGTAAATAGTTACTCTTGTTATTTTTGTTTTGAGTTAAAAAATACCTGGTCAAAAAGTTATAATGTCTTGACCAGTTCAATTATCTTGAGGTTGGTAAATAGTTACTCTTGCTGCGCAGAGCATGGGAGTAAAGGAAAGAAGTATGACTTTCTTAATGTTTTATGTTTTGACTGATAACAACTATCTCGACCTATTTTTACAGGCTATTTTGGAGAATATTGTATTGGTGCTACATCTCCACAAAGAAATTCTTCCGCTTCAGTGCTGCAAATAATTGGTAAATTTCTCCCCATATCCAATGATAACTTAATGCAATATTATAATAGGAAGTCGTGAATTTGAATTCTTGCAATGTTATTTCTTATCCAGTCTATAAACAAATCTACGAGTTTTCTATTCTTCCGAAGATACATTGCTTGATGTACTTGTTCTTTTCCTTGAGCCCATAATTTTTGGCCATCGTAACACTAAGATATAAAATATGACAGGATCAGCCAACAAATTGAAAGGCTCATGGAATCTCCCTTCCATTTTCATTCAAGTGACTGCTGTTACCATCCAAACATGGCTTTGAAAGCTGCTTAGGCTTACAATAATGGACATCACGCCTAAATTTTCTATATATTTCCAATAATTTTAGCATTTTATATTAGGTTATTTTCCTAATAAAAGTAGCACGTAAGTTGTAATATGAATACTTTCGTGTTAAATATATAATTTCCCGCCATTCTTAATTTTATTATGTTCTAAAAATTTGTAATTATATTTGTACGTATTACTTTTTTCCTATAACTTATAATTAAAAAAATGTAAAAGAATGAAGACTTGGTGAAAATGACCCATTGTGATATCTTGGTAACATTCGTCTTGAACTTTCTAGAGGATTTGATTTCATAAGGTGAAGACTAAAGATTATTTATGATTGATGTAGCCTCTAGGTAATCAAATAGTAATTATTGATTGACATGGATTTTACTTTTTTGCCTTATTTACATATTAAACATTTGTAAATTAAGGACATTTATCAAAATGGGTGGGTGGTTTCAAAGAAAAAAAGAGTTGTTTATTACTCTCTTTTGTTGGATTGCTTAAGTGATCTTGGGACGGTTTAGTAGGCTTGAGAACCTTGGACTTAGCATTGGGCTTTATGACATCTTCTTGTATCCTACGTGGATTGGCCCATTCTGTATCTTTCATGTATCTTACCAGTAATTTCATTGAAAGACTAAAACAAATAGTATGATTGGTGAAATTGGTATAAGAATATTTACAACAATAAAAAGTAAAAATGGGTTAGTAGGTAGAATTAAATAGGTAAGGAACTAATTAGGATAATTTTGTAATTTTCGTCTATGTAGGGTTGAGATTTTAGAGATTATTTGATTTTGAAATCGGCGTAAAACAAGTGTTCTCCCTTATTGAGAATTATAAAACTTATGATCTTTTTATTACCGAAAATTTGACGACTACTCGAGATTTTCCTGAAAAGAAGTTGGCTAAACAAACTTGCATGGTTTGACTTTTTTTATTTTTTATTTATAGGAAGTTGAAAGATGAGTTGCATGCATCAAAAGGGTACATAAAAAGAAGTTGAAAATTGGTATTATTTGGCCAAACAACATGAATTTCAAGAGAGGAAGAACCATACATTAGTCTTTAGGTAAGTGGATATATAGGAGAAAAGATTAAAGCATTTTTGCTCTCTCTCTCTCTCATGCATTGCATGTAAATCTCCTCTACTTGTTAATCCAAATGGACAACAATGGTAGTTTATTGTTTTCAAGGTGGGAGTTTTTTGGGGCAACCGTCTTACCCTTATAATATTTGGTGTCGTTATTAATTTCTAAGGTTGGTGGCCACCATAAGATTTGAACTCATTCCCTTTTAATTAACCCTAGCTCTTTTGGACCAATGAGCTACCATGAAGAGTATTTAATATTAACAAAGAATAAATAATTAAAATAGAATTACATCAACTAAAATTAATTTTTATTGGAACAACCATTATTTAATATAAAGTACTATTAAACTTTATTTAATTTTTTTTGAAACATATTAAACTTTATTTTTTTAAAAATGTATTGATGTTAATTAATAATAACAAAATTCTATTAATTGATTAAAAAATTAAATAAAATTTTGGAATATTGTATAATAAAATCACATAAATTAATAAAAGTTGTAAAGAAATGATTATAAATGTATATGAGGCATACAAAAAGAGGAATGAGAATGAAATCGATAAAGTTGCCGACGAAGAATGAGATTTGATTAAAAAGTTTGAAGAACTAGTTCTACCCCTTAATTTCGTTGATGTAATTTAGTAAACACCTGTGAACATTTTTATTTTCAATTCCTTTGAATTAAACTGGGCTTAGTTCAATGAATCATTTTTAACTATAAATTTTCAATTGAAAAAAAAAAGAAAAAAGAAAAAACATAATTAATATCAAAAGTGTGTTTCACTTTTGAGAGTGTTGTTCGAGCGAGAACAAGTTTGAAAATTATTATAAAATTATTTCCAGAAATACCCTCACTCGATCTTGCATGCAACTCTCACCGTATGTTCATTACACTTGGTTTAACTTTTGATAAAGTTGATTTTCAAAAAATCAACCTTATCAAAATGTGATATGATGTTAATTGCAGACCTTGGATAAGGGCAGACAGACATTGGTCGTTGTCAGTCAGAAGTCAACAGATCAGCTCTCATGTCGGAGAGTAGATCGGTGAATGTTTATGTGAGGCCAGATAAAAATGGAACTTTGTTTGAGGGTACGATTACTAAGTTTTCCAAGGTGTTCAAACAATCCCATATTGGGGAGGGAAAATGACATAATCCATGGTATATAGATAAGGACATTATCTCTGTTGATATAAGGTCTTTTTGGTGAAACTAAAAGTAAAGTCATGAGAGTTATGCTCACAGTGGTCGACAATATCTTACAATTGTAGAGATACTTGAGGGTACTATTATTCTTAACACTTGTGTGGGTATACAGGTGAGGAAGGGTATAGTTTAGTCAAAATAAAAAGAGGAGCATTGTCATATAGTTTTGAGAGAGTATGGTTTAGGAAGAAGAGACGTATTTATATGTATTTGAATAACAAATACAACTGAAAGTCTAACTAAAGCTTAACTACACATCTATTCAACTGCTAACAAACTCATTTAACTAATACAATAATATGAGTTATTATTCCCCCTCAAACTCATGCTGTCGAAAGCATAAGTTTGGATCTGAAGAAGAGCAGACGGTCATAGGTATGGGGTTTTGTAAGAAGATCAGTCAACTGAAAAGCAGTAGAGACATAGCACAGTTCAATGTCTTTGCGAAGAACACGCTCCCAAATAAAATGAAAGTCAATCTCGATATGTTTTGTACGCCCATGGAACACCAGATTACGAGCTAATTGTATAGCAGAGGTGTTATCACACCACAAAGTGGGAGATTTTGAGCTGTAAATATGAAGATCTTTGAGCACTTGACGGATCCAGAATAATTCTGTAGCAGTGGAAGCAATACAACGGTCTCTCAGAAAGAACGAATTAAGAAAGGAGAGAAGGGGAATATGTTTGATTGAGATAATTTTTTACTTGAAGACAAGTTAGAGGCATATAGGGAAATAGAGAAGAAAAAGAGTCATGTTTATTTGATGGAAATTATATTAAGTCCATTTGATTTATTATCATTAGAGTGAGAGATGCCCCGTAATTTCTTCTATTCCTCTTCATTCTTTTGTTGTTATTATTATTATTAAACAAAATACTAGTCTCACCCACATTGTACCCATCCCGTCCTTCCTCTCATTCCTCTCATTCTCTTTATCCTCTGCACTCCTTTTAATTCTCTCTCCAACATTACTTCTCTATTGATTAGACTACCTGAAAATTCTTTTGTAAACCATGAACTTGTTTACCGCTACTAATTTTAGAAAAAAAATAAAAGAAAAGTCTCTCTTCTATCATGATAGCAGGTCTATCTCTTGAACGACAATACCAGCTAGATACAATTGAAAGTTTCCTTTCAACCATTAATTTTTTTGCGTTCCTCCCTCTTACCTATAAAAAATTAAACGGTGGGTGCTGTGCCACTCAGTAAAAAAATATTGTCTTTTTCTCCCCCACTACTGTCTCTCTCCCTCACTAATTCTCTCGTTCTCTCTCCCAATTGTTCTTTGTTTTACGTGTTCGCTATCATCCCCTATAAATACTCATTCCATACCATTCTATTCTCTTGCACTTTATATTATATCTTCTTTGTACAAATTACAAATCCTATGTATTTTGCCCCTCCCCTGAAAAGTACTTCTTTTACAACAACTTTCCCACCATTTTTTATGTGTTGTTTTGAAATCCTTTCTTTTTTTGCATATCGAAAGTTCCTCATCAAATCATAATGGCCACAACCACAAAATTAACAGACGCCTTTAAATCCCGCCCTATTCACGTCCCCGCCCACAAAAACTTGGACTTCGACTCCTCCCAAGAGCTCCCTGACTCCTATGCATGGGTCCAACCTGCCAACCTCCCTCCCGTCGTTGATCTCGACTCCAACTCTGACACCGTCCCCCTTGTTGACCTTTCTCTCCCTAACGCTGCCCACCTCATTGCTACTGCATGCAGCACCTGGGGAGCATTTCAGGTCAT